TTTTTATGATGCAAAGAACCTTTTAATCATGCAAAGGGTTATTTGAAACTTTATGGTTTTATAGAACCATTTTCTTTACCAAAAAAACACGTTAAGAACTATTAGACTGTAGAAAAGCTAACTAGATCACTAGCAGGATTACGTTAAAACCACTCGGTACACACAACACTTTTTCAGATTTCAGGTTGGGTCCCAGCAAATTCTACTTTTAACAAATTTCATGTATGGTGATGCATCTCCAAGTGAAGTTGATCACGGTAATGAAAATGAGACAATTGCAGTATACAATCATTTGGCCTAGACGTCAATGGTTAGCGCTGTAAAGGCAGGACTAGGTAGAGCTTTAACCACTGTAGTGTGCAGTAAATTAACCAGGTAGTTAAATGCAAGGTCAGCAGCTGCATGTTGTATTAAAAATTACATTTTTCCTTTGTTTGCGTAAGTTTCAGTGAAGTAGGCTGTTGGCTAGTTGTTTCTTTATTATTACAACAATTTCTCTGGAACATACTGCTTCTGAGCTAGCCCCCCTCTAAACTGAAATTCTGGCTATGCCATTGGCATAGTTTCGGCAATTATGTCACCTATATAATTTTGTTTCATGAAACAAACCAGTTTTCCTGTTTCGGCTAATTTATAGATTTAAAAATTTTACTATGACTTAAAAAAGACATAAAAAGACAGTAAATCCAAAAGTAATGAAAAGTAAGATTATATTACTTTAATATAGTAATCCTTTGGATTAGGTTACATGTTATTTAACATGTATTCTGTACTGGAATACATTTTTCAAGTAACCCTCCCAACTGTGAAAGAAAAGATGTATATTTTTGGACTTGCAGCAAGTACTACAAGCACAACAAAAGTTTTTTTGTGGTGGCTCATTTGTTTGCGTCAAGCACAGATTAAAACTTCTATGCTAAAGAGTAAGGCCAAAACGCCTCCCTTTCCAATAATTATATCCATTAATATATGTGCTCTAATAATGTTGTACTACAGAGAATTCTAATAGTCAATGAATTACAGAAAATCAAAATTTGTACATTCAGTGTCTTTGGCAGCAAACACATTTTCACATGTTCAATTGCTTGAAGAAAAACAGAAGAAAGTGAAGGAAACTGTTTTTTTGTCCTCCAAAAAAATCAGACATTTTCTTTATTATTATTTTGTCTGATCTGTGTTGCAAGTTCATGACAAACAATGCAACTCCAATAAGTGAGTTGGATTCATTATCCCACACAGTGTAAGCTAAAGATACTAAAGCTCAGACAAGATAAACTTCCTATTTTTTAGTCTGTAAAATGGTGTATGTACCAAAAACACTGACCATGTTTTTGGACTGTGACAGACTTTAAATAGACTTTCGACAGACGTTCAAGGCTGTGCATGTATCACTACTACTGTAAAAAATGCAGCCCACTCTTTAAAACAGCTCTGAGTGCTATGAAAAAGCTGTTGTTGTCATAATGAAGTTTAATCACTACCATCAACTCCAGTTTTACTGATAAAGTCTGTTCTTTAACATCTAACAACACACACTGCCTTAAAGAACAGTTTCCAACAGAGCTCTAACACATGATTTCAGTAAAGTTAGCAGGGTAATGGCAGATCCACAAAGCCATCTTACAGCACTCTCGCAAAGAAAGAAGAGAGGCTAGTGAAAGAAAGAAGAGAGATGAGAGCAGGAGTGTGTAAAAGAGAAAAGGGTAGAGCTGAGCGTTTCATTTAGTGTGGCAGTGCTCTTAACATGTAATGCATGACACAGCCTCTCTTTTCTACATGAGCGAGTCTGAGAGGTGGTGTGTGGGAATTTACTATGGAAGATAATCTTTTCTCTGTAGATAACACTCGGGGTAAAATATTTACACCCATATGGATGAGTGATTCATTTACACCATTAAGCAAATGTGATTTTCCATAGACACCAAGCAGACTAGAGCTTATAAACTGCAATCACCCAGGATTCACCCCTCCAACCTCTTACTCTCTTTCAACAGAAAGGCTTCCTATCTTTAATTATGTCTTAACAAATCTCAATAATTCATTCTCACTTTTTTGTGCCACCAAACCTCCGTCCAGTTCATAAATATACTGCATCCTCAAAAATAAAGGCTGATGATATAGAGCCTTTACATTATATGGAGGGTTCTTCTAAAAAGGGCTCTTCACTTTCGCATATCTCATTCACCACTGCTCACAAGCTGAGTTAGGAGGGGAAAAAATAGCTGTCAAGTAAGTTGCCTTAGAATTTTAAGATGATCTGTCGTTCAGTTCTTACAGTGTAGAACAGGGTATTCAACTCAGCTCACTCAGTTCAACTCATGCGTTAATTGCCAGGTTTAGTGGGAGCTGTTCAGCTGGGCCTCCAGTAGGAACAGAATACATGTGTACAACCACTTTTGGTCCTAAAATAACCTTTCAGTGTACAGTTAAAAGAACAATTTTTCAAATAAAATGTTCAAGCCTACTAAACTCTTTTAAAGTGAATACAATTTACAATTCATTTTTTACACTGCATGCCATCATTAAAATGTGTTTTACCATTGATTTACATAAATATTTGTAAATGCAACATCAGACTACCATTTGATTTACTACGGTTTCACAGAGGATCGCAAGCTAAATAGTTTAGGTTGAAATTCTACTCCAGACTAAAAAAATCTCTAATTTGTGAAACTGTAACACAGACTGCTCATGCATATTGTGGTCACATTACCACATATTTCTGACTGCTGATAATGATAAAGTAAGCCTCATAACAACACACTTAAGACACTAACACACATGTTTGCCTGGTTTTGAAAATCCATGCAAAAGTTTTCAGTATTTACTTCAGTAAATACTCACATGTAATCCACATCTAATCAGCTGCCCTTCCAATAACTCATATATCATTTTTTTCTCCAGTCCTCACACATTTTGTATGACCCTGGCCTATAAACTTAGCCTTGTGCACCAGTTTCATACCATAAAAATGTATAGTGGGGCTTTAAATGACCACAGAAGAAGGGCAGAGTGTCAATTAGTTAAAGTGAACAAATGCTAATTTATAAAAAACAGAGAAAAAACACAACAGCACTGCCCCATTTCTGTTTACTCCAAACTCTCTTTTCTCGCATGTCCACTCTCAATTATCTAAAGCCTTTTTTACGGACTGCATTAATGGTTTTATAAACTCATCTCTAGCAGACAGTGGCCATTAAAAGCTATCATTTAAAAGCCACATTTCGGTGCCTACTCATGTGTTCCCATGTGGGCATGGACTATATTATAGCAACATGTTTATGGTCTGAGTAATAGATTACCATGATGAACAGCACCTTCCTCCTGTCATAATATTATTGGTGATGAGGTGCTTATATCTCGTAGTGTTATTAGGGCCAGCCAGTTAGTTAGTGTTTTATTATGGTGCTTCTGAGGGACTGTTAAAAACGCAATGTGTCAACAGAGAGGCTTTAATCAGGCCTGTAATTGGTTGTGGTGGGCTAAGATTGTGTGTGGGCTGGAGGGCACCCAATCACACATACACACATACACACACACAAATACAAACTTCTTTTATGATGGAACCAGACTCACTGAATATAATGCTGTTGAAAACCTCTGAACAAATATGAGATGTGGTAAGTCTGCAGACAGTCCACAACCGATTTAAAATACAAGTAACAAACCAATATGATGACAGGCTGATAAGATTGCCTGATATAAAGGTTACACTGGTTACACAGCTTTTTATATGTTGTAATGAAGTCAAGACTCTAACATCATTCAAACTTTTTTGGAAATTCAAATGGTTTTATGCCCTTAACCATCTATAACAATCTTCACACAGGCTGCCTAGCTGGCAGTAACCAATTGTTCATAGCTGTTCGCAACACAGGTAACTAGTAAGCTGAAATAGGTAAACTTTAAATGCACCTGAGCCTAACCATGAGGATAACATTATTGCTAAAAGCTCCACCCACTTTGTGAGTTTGCGAGATTACTCAATTATAAGGCTAAAAAATGATGGAAAGGTGTTAATAAGGAGTGTTTAATTCAGACACATGCTATCCTCATCAGCTGGAGATGGTGATGTTTTCTTTTCACTCCTGAAGTTGAAAAGGTTTCGGATTAAACTCTGTCGAAGACCACAGTCACAGCTCAATGTCAAAATTATGAACGGGCAGAATTATACTGGCTCTAAAGTAAGCTAAACTTTATTTGGGTTACTGTATTTGCTAAAAATCATTTTAGTATGATTAAACAGGACTGTACAGTGCTCACATTTGCGATTAAAAGCATTCTGTGTAAAGATCAATTTTACTGCCCTCGTATTCATGCCATCATTTTTACTCTGCCATTAAAGTTTGCTAAAAGACCTCATGTATAAAGATGATGCATCCTCCTCTGCATCTGATGTTGCTCTGATTAGCACTGGCCTATCTGAAGGAGCAGCTTTCTTAGCTCAAACCTCCTACTTTTTGGACATGAACATTTGTTGCCTTAACATCCAGTTGCTAAAAGATTTCCTGGTTTGAATAAACATCTAGAAAGTATTTTTTTATTTAAATTGGCTCACATTCATATCGTCAGCTCTCAAACACGTCTCCACTGAACATCCTGTTAAGCCAGTTTACATTTGAATAATAAAATGCTGTCAGAGGTACTGCTCTGCACACATTTTCAGAATTTTTCTTTGTGCTAATAAACTTTTTAATCTGTTAGCACAAGTGCTACAGATACCACAAGGTAGCATGAACTGAGAGATTGGAGAACAAGACAACAGCAACTAAGGGAGGCAGTCAACTGAAACTTAAATAATATCTGACAAGTGAATCAGTCAGTAAAGCACTGCTTTTGAAAGCACAGTAGTTTGATTCATTCATATTCATATTTGTCCATATAAAATTATATCAACCAGTATTACTGCTTATTTGAATTTTTAGCTCATAAAAATGAATATTATGACAAACATGTTCATATCAACTGGCCCTAACTTGAGTATGTGTATGTATATGTACCTGGCTGATTGGATTCTCTTGACTCTGTAGGACAGGGCAGAGTTGTGCTGCTGGAATTGTGCTCTCCGCGTGTCAATCTTGTAGCGGGTTTTGATGACCTTCAGAGATGCTGGACTCCGTACTGAAGAACATGAAGAGCCTACGGAAGAACAGACAAATGACAGAAGGATATTAATGACTGCCACGTCACATCACCAATCAATGGTGACCAACCACCTCATGCAAATTTTGGCTTCTATAACTCTTCCTTGTCATGTGGATTGCTAAAACCTCAATCTCTGAGCATTTAACTATAGGGAGTTTGACCTGGATTTGTTACAGGGGCATACTTATTCAGCACTGGTGCTTTTCTTTCGGTTTTATGGAAAAGTTAGTTTCATCAAAAGGTATTTGTCGCTCACAGTTGGCAATAAGAACCACATGTGGTTCTGGGACACCATGTGGTATCAGAGTGTTTCTTTATACATTATCTTTACGCCCCCTGATGTTCATGGAACAACGGAACATCAGTACCAAATTCTTCCAAGGTTTCACGGTAATGGGCACCAGTATGAGTCAGTCAGTGCTTCTAATGCCGTGAAATTCAGTAGCTCTGCGCACTCACACACACGGACCGCAGACTCGCTCATCCACTGACAAACTCCCTTTCACTGGCAGGTGCGCTCCTTAATAAGCTGCACATGTAAAAATGAAGGAATAACAAAGGCTGAATTTTTATCAGCCTAATAAATCATATCCTCTGTCTCTCTTGCACCCCCCACCCCCTTCTCTTCCTCTCCTTTCTCTTTAGGTCTCATTCGTTATATCATTTCACAAATCCATCAGAGGAGAGACGGAGGGAGAGAGCAGAGGGAGAGAATAAGTGTGGCTTTTATTTATTTCTTTATTTCTTCATTTATCCATCATGCTGCTTTATGAGTGGCTGGGCGGAGGTGACATGCGTGCATGCAGGCTGAGTAAAAGATGGACTCTGCATGGCGGCTTTTCGCTCGCTGCCTTTTCACGCCAACGCTAAAAACCCCAAAGATTTATTCCCACCAAATACCATTTAGCATGTTAGACAAGTCAGCGGGAGAATGGAATTACTTACAGAACTTAAGAAATCCTGAAAAGGTTATTCAACAACACAGGAAAGAAGCCTTTAGCTATACTTCAATTTTTCCCCCCAAAAGTCTTACAATGCCATAATTATCTAATATCCAGTTCATAAGCAATGCTCGTCATCACAGAGTGGAGCAGATTGGTTTTAGGACAGCCATGTAATCATCGTACTGCTCCATTACAGCACGGAGTAAAATGTTTTGAAGAAACATAACTACTTTTCTACTTTTCCCTCCATCGCACGCACACGCTCACACATACGTCTCTGCTCCTCACTCCTCTCAGAGTCCCTGACAACACTTTATCTTTCTAATGAGTGCAGACAGAAAAGGAAGAGGCTGAAAAGAAGGAAAGAAGAGTAGAAACACTAGAAGGGAGGAATAAAGAAAAAAACGACAGGGAACTGGAGACTGATTGATTATCAATATCGATTTACTAATATATCAGACAATCGATAAACGGAGCCTGTGTCGATATATCAACTAATGTTTCTGTATAGGCACTCAATGACCATTAAAGCTGGTCAACTGCCGACCACTGGCTACAGTCAACAGCAGCTGAAATAACTTGGTCGATGTCAAGATAATGAGCTACTGTTAGTACATTCCTCACTGCAATTAAGAAACTGATCTACATAAAAACATACAGTTTCCTTAGTCCTTTAATTCAGTTTGCTTTTGCTTATTGTGCCATGTATAGCATTGGTTGTCCAGGTCATCATCCAGAGAAACAAGTAGAAAAGTTTGAGACTGAGCTTAATAATGCATCTTTTACTTTAGGTCCACATTTATGTCAGAATTGATTTTTATGTGATTACTTTCCAGCTTTACATATTTACAGCTTATAACTTCAACATGAATAGGTGAGTTAAAGCACTGTAAGCTGGACAGGAAGATAAATGTAAATGTGTTGGTTTTGTGACATCAACAAAAATCATCAATTCAAAATAGGCTTCCACAGATAAATAACAAGGACTGTGAAGTGAATTCTAAGTTTTGAAATGTTAACAATATTTACGTACTACATCTAAGAACTGTTCTACTTTTAACAAGAGATATTCATATCCATGATATGGGCCATTTATAATGCATTAACATTAGCAGCAAAATTCTGAGCTTGCACTGTTGGAATACCAATTTTTTTCCAACTCGATACAACAACAGTCCTTGCCAGTCTTCGGATTGGCATGCTTTAAAGGGAAAAAGAGATGATTTGATTGTGATTTTTCTCCAAATGGCTCGAACGGATATAGATATCTGATATAGTAATCACCAAAAAATTGTTTCCAAGTGTTTACCCACCAGGTATGGGCATTTCAGTGAAATTTGCTAGTATTATTATTCTTTATTATTATTATTATTATTATTATTTTTATTATTGCTTAAAAATACTCTTCTAACAACTCCCTAAACATATCTAAATAAATAAAATAAATGAAAGCACCAGATACAATAGTAAAGGCTTCAGGTCAGGCATATGGGATGTGTTATGCAGACAACACTCAGCAATTTACTATTACTGTACTATGTTAAAGCCAGACCCCCGTAATCCATAGTAGGGAACATGTGGCTTGAAATTTACACAGAGAAGAGCACCCAATGTAAAATTTTTAAGATAAACAAATGCTAATCATCTGTTACTTTAGCTAATGGTCCTATGTTTGTTGCATTGTAACTAGGGCTGGATGATATGGAGATAAAATATGATCAATAAAGGTGTTGAATATCACAATGATAAGAGAAACGATAAATTTAAACTAAATTGCTTACTAGATGTGCCATAAGTAGAGATCCTCTTTCTGCTGTGTAAACAAAAATCTAACCAACCTCTTAATTAAATAAATAGCTAAAATACAAAATTTCTAATTACAAAAGCACACTAATAGCTACTTACACAAGAACTGCAAGAACATTTTTATACACTGTAAGGCTGTTTAGTGAGCATTCCTTGAACAAACTTTTCTATATAGGCCTACTACAATACTCTGTATAGATCTACTGAAATAAATAATGTTTAATTCCTTAAAAGGCTCCTTATGATGATGCAGGCTTGTTGTGACAGTAGCCATTACTGCTTCACACATTTTACACACAACAATGGAAGTGAGAATGATCATCACATTTGAAGTCTTTTTACTGCATAGTAGCTCAGGATGGAGGTACTGTGTGTTTTTTATTAATTGTCTGTTTCGGTAAGCTACTTGCTCCATGAGCAGGAGAGCACGGATCAAGCTCCACACAGGTAAGCATTTTATGGGCCTCTAATTTTATATTATGACAATGGAAATGAGTTTCTTTCACTGCACTACAACCTCTGATCAAAGGTAAGTGCAGGCTCCAACACAGTCCTCTGGTGGAGTATAGAGTAAAAACATCTCAGGATTCTTAAATATGAGTATGTATAACAGAAGCTACATTTTTTATCAAAAAATTATTTCCTATTCAACTTTCCTGACTATTTAAATATATAAAGTTCTGACTCATCCCTAGTGACCAATACACTAATATATCGTCACTGTCCAAAGAAAACCATCTCCATTTTTGTTGATTTTTATTTGTCTACATCATTTCAACACACAAGGTGTCCTTTACGTCATGTGGAAATTTCATAATGAATGGACCAATAGAAATGCTGTAAAATCACATGGAATAAAATATCTTTACATCATATTACAGTATAAGGTAAGAGTGTTATTGCCTTCTCCTGTAAAGTTACTATTGAAATTTTCTTCAGTTCTAAACTGGCATCAGTAAAAATAAAGATGAAGAGTTTATTTGCACTTCCTACCTGCATGCAAGCTTCTCTATGCAGGCAGGTTCTATGACATGACCTTGTACTGTATTTAAAACTTAGTAATGCAACATAACTTTTATTTCTTACAATGCCATAACACTGTGTTACAACCTCGACTCATGGCCTCATAACTAACTCACCCACACTTCCTTTTTCTCACTTTCCACACTGCATGCCCCTCTCAATTTGTCACCCGAACACACTTTGGTATCAGTAAGAGAATTCATCTTCCACAAACATTTACCAGTGATCAAACCTCAGCAGCGTGTGTGTGCATTGTGTGAGGGCTTATGGGTCTTTATGGGAGCTACAGAGTGTGTGATTTATTGTTTGAGCTGGGCAGTGTATGACTGGACTTTAAGGGAGCCAAAGGCAAATACACACGAGTGAATGTGTGTGTGTGTGTGTGTGTCCTGAAGCTGGTATGTACTGTACATGTTTACGTGTGAGCTTGTAGGATTACTTGGCTGGCTTGAAGTCACTTTTTCACCCGGCACTCATCTGTATTGCAGTCTGAGCTATTTGGGCGTCCCAGTGGATGACAAATTTGGCTTGTCAAAGAGCTCGTGCCTTACACACCCAACCCCTCACTGAGTTCTTCACTACACTGTTCCACCTTACGTACTGTTTAACGACATGGCTGCAGAACTCATACGGCTTCAATGGCAACTGTATATGTGTGTGCGTGTAGCCCCGTGTCGAGCTCTATGTGCCAAAACTAAGGCAGTGGTCCCTGTCAGGACCCTCTTTATTTATGTGTGTGCTTGCAAGTGTGTGCGAGTGTGTGTGTGGCAGGGATCTGTCAGTGGCCTATTAAGGGGAAGATTGAGACCCCACTCGGTGCAGACTCACTCAACCAACACAACCTGCTGGGCTTTACAATCAGGCCTGGGGACTCATCCATCGCCCGCTGACACCCCAGCCCCGCGCCCGCGCCGAAACACACCGCCGATTATTTACTCAACTCACTCCGGCTCCAGCCAGCGCCGCGTGCTCCCACCTTTATCTATCCCTCTCTTTCACACACGCACGCTCATTTTTCTGACAGGTTCCCATGTTATTTTTCTGCCAGCTCTCTGCTGGCGGTACAAAAGTCCCTGCAGTTCTGCTACAGAGGAAGTTATAGCTGTATAGCTGTTTATTCTGGAAGTGAAAAAAGTCAAACTATATATATTTTTGTAAAAGGCACAGCAGCTGTTAAGTGGTGATTAATCAAAGGCCTCCACTACATTAAACATGCTTGTT